ATTTATGCCGATTTCTGGGCCAAAGCTTTGCCAAGCTCTTATCTAGGGCTCTATAAAACTTTGAGAACCACTATTTTAGAAAATGATAGATCATATATGCATGTATCTGCGCAAACGATTAGATTCTGAAAAAGAATATTTTCGCATATGTCCACCTGGCTCCCCACTGTGTACTGTAGGGATTAGCCGTTAATTATTTTTCGAGAAAATGTAAAACTGTTTTTTATTAAGAAACAAATAAATTAACATTCTTCGGCTGCCTATGCTAAAAATAGGTAAGGGAAAAAAAAATAAAGTTGAACTTAAATTAGAGTATTGTGACAGCAGTAAACAAATGTGCACTACTTTTTTCTCTTCAAACGAAATCTCTTTCAATGAATCAAAAACATGATAAAATATAATTCTCTAACTGTGAACCACTAGAAACTATTAAGAATTTTAAAAAACACATTATGATTAATCGTTGTATGGAAAAAAAAATCGACAGAATCTTCATCACGGCATTATCTAGTCTAGAATTTTTCCAACTTGCTCAAGAAAGTTTTTGTTAATAAAGATAAACTTGTTTTATTTGTTAGCATTTGTCATGTTTGTTATACAAGTCTTTCTTTCTTTCCTAATATTTAAATAGATTCTGCTGTGCTATGATCATAATCTAGATAGGTAAGTATGATATTACAAAATGTTTGTCTATTTTTTAGCAGACTTTTATTTTATAACAAGGCATGCGAATCCTAATATTGATGTAACTTTTTTTTTTTGTGCAATGACTCATTTTTTCATAAAAGGAAGTATTATAAATACTATCCTCTAATGCGTTTGACAAAATCTTGTTGTCGACAGTAAAAACACGTGTTTTGAAATGCAAGGCAAACAAACACGTCAAATATAAAAGTAAAAACATATCGAACGATGCTATAAACAGCATTGGTTGGAGAAACAAGACGTGTTGTATATACAAAACCATGCGTTTAAATGCAAATAAGTCCCGATTTTTTTTTCAAAAAGTTGCTGTTGAAATTCTCTTTTGTACAATTTTCTTTTTATGGGCTGTGTTTATGGAGAAATAGGGCTTCATTAACTTGTAGTATTTAAAGCATAAACGACCCTATACCGATGATCTCTTCGAATTGTGAAAACCTTTTACATAAAACTAAAAATATATAAAAATTTCAAATAGTTCGAGTTTTATTATGTTCTTTACACACATTGAAAACTTGACGAATACGAAGACAATATTATCTTTTAAGTGATTGCATAAATAAAAATTTCATTGAAAAAAAGTGTTATATTTGATTCATTGTATTTTTCAATAGTTCAAAACTGAACTTGTTCAAAGCTAATTTTTATTATTATCATTACCTATGCTCAATTTTACTACTTCATATTAAAAGAAAATACTCATGCAATCGATTGATTCCTATCTTAATCTAATTTATAGTAAACGAAAGATCATTAAAAATAATAATTTTAACAATGACATTGTGGATTTTATGCCGATAAATTGGAAATTTCCAACTCAATTATAATACCGAATGATGTAATAGAAATACTCCTTGATAGATTGCTTATTCGTTGGCAAGCAGATCACCAATATTAACATGAAGTCATAAACACAAAAAAGAATTGTTCTTGAGGTTAATGAGATCAACTTAAGCTCAGATTGAAATCCATATAACCGTAAATAGTATGAAAATTCAAATCATTTTACTGAATAGTCACATTGGTGGAAGAAAAATAACTAACTAGATACATTAAATATGAATATAATTACGAACAGCTGTATGTGAGAACTTAAGACCACATGAACATGCAAGATTCTCTTGGTTTTTTAATTATCAAAGATGACGATAGTTACCTTGATATTTATCTCTAAAATATCTTGTATAAATAAAAACCAAAGTAACTATGAGTGCTGTTCGTGCAATAATGTCACGGATACGTATGTGCCGATGAATCTCTGCAACTTTTACAAACATCTCATATAAACACCTGAAAGTTAAAAAAAATACGTGAAACTGAATTTTTGTTTCCTTCAAACATGAATTATGAATCTTGTTTTAAAAACAATAAAATTCGTACAAAAAAATAATAAGAAACATGTGATATGAAATTTTTTTGAAAATACAGTTCTGTCGATAAGGTAATGTCGATTAACATATTGTTTATACACAATCCTTAATTTATTTTGTTTCTCTTAGGATGAAGGTTGTGTAGGATCATATCGAATCATATTATTAATATCTCCATGAGTCGCATCATCAGTATGTTCCGTAGCACCATATTCAGCTTGTGTAATTGTATGAAACTAATAATAATAGAAAAAGAAAATATTGAGAAAAAAAAAACAAAGCGAGATTTTGTTCGTCACATACCGAAGCACTAAACTCGATAGGACTTTCTTCAAGAGCTTCAGCTCGTTGTTGCAGCTCATTATTAACAACATATCCACGGTTGGGAATAATCACATTGACACGTTCAAGAGCAGCAGGAAATTCAATATCATTTTTAATTTGATCTAATCGCTTTATAATCACATTTGTCAATAGTTGTCGAACATCAAGCAAATTAACTAAATTCATTTTAATAGATTCACGAATCGGTTCATTTTCAACAAATGTATGTTTTCCATCATATTCATTGGTAGTACTATCATATGATTCATTTTTCAAGAAATATTTACTTACTGAATTTTGAATATGTAATTCATTTCCAATTAGATATAATCGAATTGGTGAAAGACTTTTCACATAATTACAAAGAATATCTGCTTCGGGTTTTTCATTAAAATCAATAACTTCGTCTGCTGGTAAATAATCATATATTGTACAAATTCTTGGTTCATAATCACCAAATAAAGCATCACCTAAGATAAAGAAAAATAATTTATTTTATAAATGAAAATTTTAATTGTTTATTACATAAATATATGAGACGTTCTTGAAAGTCAAATAAATTTTCATCAGTTGTATTCAATGGAATAATTAATACATGACAAGCTTCAATCTAAAAAGTTTTCTTTTGTTTTTCATCAATTTTATTAATTTAATCAAATAATAAAACAATACCTTTCCATTTGTAAAGCGTTGTCGTTTAAAAAAATTAGCTTTCTCCCTAATAAAATATGCAGGACCAATCTCATTCAAAGCTAATAATTTTTTCGATGTATCTTCAAAGAATTTAACAACAGTTGACTTAATTTTATATGCCATAATTTCTTTGACAACAGAAAATACATTACCACCATCAAACCTTAAATTAGACCTTCGTTTTACGCGTATAAAAATAGCCAATACATGATGTTGGCATTTTAGATCTTCTAAATGTGCATGTGAATTTTGATCATTTAAATTCATAATTAATACAATAAAACAGGATGAATTCTTATTAGTAATCACATGATTTTTAAGCTCGTTAATATGAAAAAAAGTTTGATGACTTATACCAGGAAGACATATTGCTGTAGGTTGAGTATTAGTGCGTGAACGCCACTCTGCTATTTGAAGATCGGACGTCATTCTAAATGAATATTTCTAGAAAATAAAATAGTTGAAAAAATATTCTCGTCCACCGTTTCTATTTTCGCGTAATAAGAGGTTGGTTTGATATAGAAGTAAGGATAATGATATGAGTGAGTGATGTCTGTCGGAAAAATATATTTTCATTGATGTTGGTTTTTACGCGATTAAAATATAATACAAATCATTGTAATGTGAGAACTTTTTTGAAGATGAAAATATAATTAATAATTATTTCATTTTTGAGATATTTCATCTCATAGATAAATCAATCTGACTTCTAATTTTGCTTTTTTTTCGTAAAATAATATGTTACTCATATTGTTTTATACCTCGAATATTTTTATATAATAATTAAAATGGTCCAATGAATAACCACGATTTGCATATGTATAATTTGTATATGAAGAGCAACAAAATGTAAAAAAACAAAAATTATTATTGGTTTATGTTTTCACGCGATTATTTTTATGACGTATTCCTTATCATAAAGCATAGAAAAACAAAATATATTCAGGTGTCCTCATTTTGAAAATCAAGCAATTATATTTTTTTGTCATACTTTTGCTTCACAATAGGAAAGAGTTTGTCGAGTTATTTTTAACATTGTTGTTTTTAATATATTCACATGATATTTTCGTAGTGAAAAGTATGTTTAGAAAAAGTTAGACAAACCTATGAAAATTGAAATATGCAAAAACCACTAAAATCTCGGTGGCTTGAATATTGGTGTGGCTTTTTCTTTTCGTTTACCAGTCATTAAGTTACGAAAATACATGATACATGCTTTTTGAAAGCTATATTATTTCATTGCAGAGAAAATTGATTTTTTCGTTATGATATCAAATCATCATAAATACAAGTAAGACGAATATTTGTCGACTTTAATTTTAAGTAGTGAATATTATATATGATGTAGATTTCGTGTTGATTCTGAATATAAGATTAGTTTAATATAGTACTCAAACTCAAAGGTCAACAACTCTGAATATTCACCTGTATTTATAATGTTTTGGTATCAGATCGAAAAAGTATGCAATTTTGCACTATCAAAGTCGTTTTCTATTGATTTAATCTTTCATTAGACTATACTGAATTACTTGAGGGTGCAAACTCTACTTAGACTTTTGCAGTATTAACTACACAATATCTTTCCAGAAGTCTTTAAAATATTTAATAAAGAAGTTACAAACAAACGAGCAATAACATGAAGTAAATTATGATACTATAATTAATCCTTAGAAACGGATCGACAACAACTTTCACAAAGCGAAAATATGACTTTTGCTAACCTCCTAACTTATGAATCATATCAATTCATATGATCATCATTGATAATAGAGTATAGATGTCAACGGAATTCTATATTGGAAAAATGACTCTGAGATCGTAACTCAAGTGTATCCTTTTGTTAGTTTGCATCAGTTCGTCGGATTATCACCTAAACATGTATAATATGATATTTCTAACTTAAAATGCACCTGGTCAAACAACGTATTTCTACGAAATGAATTTTCTAGTAACATAATCGAATTTCTTTCTGTGAAACTCAGCATTTCTGAAATATATGCTTATAGATAGTTTATTTCTATGAACAGCACCTATCAGATAAAAAATTTTGAAGATGAGAAATGAAAAACCCAAATGGTCATTTTAACCTATAAACAAAAAAAAACATTAATGACTTTTGTAAAAATATTTATTCAACGAAAATCTTGCATATAATAGTTTTGTTTTTTGATTCATTTTCATTACAACATCAAAAGTTTGTCAAGTAGAAATGTAAAAAAGAAATGAGGTATCGATGAATATTTTCACAATACACCAATTTGATTGTGAAAGAAACAGAACATTAAAACGGTAAGAATAAAAATAAAAGAGCACTACTGCACAGTGGGGAGCTTTCACATGAGCAGGCGGACATGCGGCTTTTTTGCTTAGCAATGACTTTCATTTGACTAGAAATGAGAGTATACCGCTCAGAAAAGTGTTTTTAAGAAAAATAAAAGGTTTTTTAAGAAAAAAATTTTTTTTTTTAAAAATATGTTGCGCTACATATCATTCGGT